CTCAAAGAAACCTTCTGTCCCTTTTTTCCTATCTTCTGGGATTCCCGTGATACAAATGTTATTATGGTTTATGGAGTCACTGCATTCCTTCAATCTACATTTGTGAGCCAATATTTTTCTTTCCCTCCTCATTTCAGCCTCATTATTTTCCATGCTTTTATCTTCTATATCACTTATTTGTTCCTCTGATTCTTCCATCCTTGTAGTCATTACATGCATACAGTTGGTTTTGCATCTTGGTTATAGCATTTTTTATTTTGGCCTGACTAGTTTTTAGGTCTTTTATTTCTGCAGTAAGGGTCTCTCTGGTTTCTTCTATGCTTTTCTCAAAGAAGCCCACAGAAGGCCAAAAAAAATCTCCCCTCTTGTGTCCTAGGATTCCTTCAGATCCCTGCCTTCACCCTGTCTGTGTCCTTGCCATCTGCCTGGCCAGCAGTGGTGCAGGGCTCCTGTGTTTTATCTCAGGTGCATAGCTGGGTTTCAAAACTCCAAATTTTAGGGACCCACAAGGTGTAGACCCATGCTGATACTCTGGGGGAGTACTCACCACACTGTCACTGATACCGGTTTGTCCCAGAAAAGGAGTTGCCTGACTGTGCAGAGGCTTGAAATTTATAGTAAAGCATAGCAAAAAGCTGGCATCCAGGTCAGCCGCCCTCAGTGAGCATCTCTGCTCATATGATAATGAATGGGGCAGCTCAATGGCACCTGCTGGCTCTTTTGTTGCATGAGAGGAAGTGCCATCTCTCCCAAATGCACTCCAAGAAGGGGAACTAGCTCTCCCAGCATGGCCCAGGGGATTCTGAGAGCACTCTGTCCACTCCCAGGCCTCTGCCCTCCTTCTCTGCAGAAGCACCACTATGCCCACCAGCCTCAACCCTAGTGATAGTGTGGATTTCTAAACTTCAGACTTTCTGTTCTGCTGCTTGTAAAACCTTGTGATAATCAGCCCCCTTGTTGACCCAGTCAGTGGTTTTGGGGTATTGTTTTTCTTGTGCAATCCCCTATGTGCTGCTTTATCTCTCTCTCCCTCTCTCTCCTCTCTCTGTGATCACCCCTCTGCAGCACCTGCAGTTCTTTTCTCCCCGCAGTCACATCACAGCCCCTCCCACTTTCCATAAGTGACCTCTTTCCCCCTCTAGTTGTGCACTTTGTTCTCTCAGTCCTCAGAATAATTTCCTGGGTGTTCAGAATGATTTGATAATTATCTAGCTGTGTTTGAGGGATGAGGCAAGCATAAGGTACTCCTACTACTCCGATATCCTAACTCCCCTACATAGTATTTACTGCTATCTTATGTAAAGATGCTTAAAGTGATTATATAATAAAATAGTTATTGTATTTACTCCATAGTGACTTTATTTTAATTGTTCTTTTTTTAAAAAATATTTTATTTATTTATTTGACAGAGAGAGACACAGTGAGAGAGGGAGCACAAGCAGGGGGAGAAGCAGGCTTCCTGTGGAGCAGGGAGCCCTATGTGGGGCTCGATCCCAGGACCCTGGGATCATGACCTGAGCCGAAGGCAGACGCTTAATGACTGAGCCACCCAGGTGCCCCTTAATTGTTCTTTTTGTCATATTCTCAACTTCAGGAGATTCAAAATACTTTAATTATCCCTATTACTAGGAATCTGGAGTGAGAGGACTCTAAATAACAATTTCAGTCAAAATTTTTGATGGCCAAAAAATATATAAATTACACACCTTAGCAAAATGTTGAAATAAAGTTACTTTTTTCTACCTGGGAGTACTACTCATTTCAGTATCATAGATGTATGAATAAAGAAGTTTGCATAAAAAAAAAACAGAATAGATGAAGTTACTAAAAATTTTACCATAAACTTTATCATTAGTTATTGACTAAGGTTAAAATTCAAAGTCTGGTACAGCACATGTCATGATATTACTCAAAATCTATTGAATAAATGGCCTGCTTTAGTGATTTCCCAAATTACTCTTAGCAGATTTTATTTTCTAAACAGAGTCTTACAAGAAACAACAATTATGAATAAAATAAGACATAAAAAAAAGAGACTGGCTTTCTGAAACAGCAATAGGAAGATGAGACTCCACCAGCCTAAATTCTCTATCATCATTTGCAGCTGTTTGTGACCTTCCCAGGGACTCCCTGTGTTTCCAAGGAATGCAGTTCCAAAACTTGTCATTTTCAGTAATGTCTAATGACTTAGATGAAATTAACTCTCCTGCAAATAACAATTAAATATGGACCAATTGTATTTAAAAAAAAATTATTGAAAGCGTTGGAAACTGACACAAACCAGGCAGAAACTTGAGGGAAGTTGACCCTTGAAAAAAAGAATTTCACTGGGTGAGTTAAATGCTTATATGTTGTTGTTGTTGTGTTTTTCTTGAGCCTTACCTAGTCCAACAATGTTCAGGAAAACTTTAAAGATCAAACAGAAAGCTGTGGTGTTATTGTTTTGAGGTGTAGTGTAAGAGGGACAGACTTTGGGGTTACCAGACAGCTGAAAATTGAGATTAATCCAGGAAAGTAGGGATCCACAAACATAGAAACCTGTAAATTTTCATATAACTCCCTCATATCTTTGGCTGAACTTTTAACTGCATGAGCAAGAAAGACTATAAGAAATCATGCATGGAACTAAAACTATAAAGCAAAAAATGTTAAGTGGGTGCTGCTCACTACAGGGGATCTGAATTTGAAATGTACTAGATTAGAGGGGTTTCTGCTGAAACCTAAGATGGTGCACACCATCACATAATTCTGTGTCTTAGAACTAAGAATTTTCCTTAAGACTAAGGGCAAAACTTAAACTGATCCTTTCTAACAAAATGTAAAACCAAAGCTTCAGTCAGTAATTTAATTCCATGCCAGAAGATTAATTACCACTTTTCAGAGGAATATAACAGTATCCAATGTCTGTACAATGTATCACCCACAATGTTCAGTGTCCAGTAAAAAAGATTAGCGACTGTGCAAAGAAACAGGAAAACAAGTGATCCGCAATTAGGATAGAAGGCAATCAATAGATCCAGACCATGAGATCACCCAGATATTAGAATTAGCAGACTTGAACTTTAAAACAGCTAATAGATATGTTCAGTGACTAGCTTAAAGAAAATAATTATTATAAGTGAACCAGAGAGGAATCTCAGAGGATAAATTGGAACTTTTTAAAAAAGACTCAAGTTGGAAATTCTAGAACTAAAAATTACAGTATCTGAAATCTAAAAATCCATTGTGTGGTCTTAGTATTATATTGGAAAGGACAGAAGGCAAGGGCAATAAACCTGAGGGAAAATCAATAGCAACTGTCTAATATGAAGAATAGAGAGGGAAAAAAGTTTGAAAATAAAATGAACAGAAAAACTGTGATCTGTGAGACAATATAATTTTTTTTCAAATATTTTTCTTTCCCAGTCTCTTTACACTCTCTTTTTTGAACTTCAAGTACAAGTACATTAGACAAATTGATATGTTTGTTAGACTGGATTAAGAAGTGAGACCTAATATTCAAAAAAGAAACAAACAAATAAAAAACAAGACTCTACTACATTTTGTCTACAAAAGATGTACTTGAAATATAAAGAACAGAGAGAATGTAAAATGATAGAAGCGTTCATTTTTTACAAAGATAAAGCAAAATTTGACAGAGCTCAAAGTAGAAATTGACTAATCCAAAATCATATTTAGAGATTTTAGCATCCATCTCTAAGTATATGTTTGTTCAATAACTACCTACCTAACTAAAGTATTTTAATAATACTATAAATCACTTTGACCATACCCTTATGTTGTAGAATAAACATTCTTTTAACTGCACCATAAGATGTTTCAATAAATTTGAAAAGACTTAAGTCTCATAAAGTATTTTCTTCTGCCACAATATAATTTAATCAGTCACACAATAGGATAAATACAAAATCACATAAGTGATTTTTAAAATCATAAATCTTTCATTACAAATATGAAAGAAGAGTTTTCAATTTAATTTATTTGAGGAATGGGATTAATGATTTAAAAACTGGATATATATTCAGGATTTATATTATATGAGGAAAGTAAAATATAGAATTTCCTTAAAATGATCCTTTGTCACTCGGCTGTTTAAGTAATTTTAGTGAAATATCTTTTTAGATAAAGTAATTGGTTACTTGAAAATTCAAAATATAGTAAATAGTTTTGAGTCCCCATTCAATCACCTGATTGCATGGATTGAGCTGCTGAACCAAGTTATATATTTAGTTTACTTTTGTTATTTCATATAAGATACTCAAGGTTAGGAACCATTCTCTTCTGATCCTTAGGAGCTAGTTTTGTGGCTTAAAGGTGTTCAATAAATATTTGTTGAATAGATGCATATATTTTTGGTTCAGAAAATGATAAATATTTATCAAAAGAAAATGAAACAGTAAACAGAAAGAAATTTAGAACTAATACAGTATAAGATGTAAAGTATAAGCGAGAACTACATTAGCTAGAACAGAGAAAGCTTTTGATATACAACCTTGTAATAAGTGAAATATTAGGCTTTGCTGAGATTCTTCATCTTATTTGAAGTCCCAATCTGCAACATTTTGGATGGTGTAAGAAAAAAGTTTATGATAAAAATGAGACTATATTATTTATATCTTAGGAGATTCAAATTCATAATATGAAGTTGCTTTTGGACAGTATCTATGAAATTATATTTTTTAGCATTCACCTCATTTTTCTTTGTACAGTGAAACTCAGAGAATAATCCTTTGTCTTTCCTGAATTGGATGAGAATTGAAGACCTTGGGACAAATGGCTGCACAAGAAAGTAGTTCTCTTTATAAATAGAAAAAAAAAGAATTATAGCATAAGCCCTTAGGACTTAAAAATTCTCCAACACACTCTATTATTCTTTATTCTTCCTTTACCTCTTCTCCACCAAGTATCTGGCTCAAATGTACTTAGTCACTATGTAGCCCAATGCTGTTACTCTTAAATTATACACCACGAAAATTCTATTTAAAACCTTTATCTCTTACCACTTTGTCTTCACATCAACAACACTTCTGTGTTTTTATCCATCTGCATCCCACTGTGATGAGGTGGGGAAAAAAAAGCAGAGTTATTAGTATGGAAACAGAAGCAGAAAGAACAAATCAATTTATCAAGATTATGTATGTTATCAATGATAATGGAAATAAAACCTAGATATCCATCCTTAGATTCTCGAGATCTTCTGCTGAAAGTTGAAAATTACATTTGAAACAAAAGGAGTCTTAGGGATGTCATATAAATTGGTTAGTCTCATGAAGCATATAGCATATATTTAATATGGATGTCTTAATTTGGGGCTAGAAATATGTTTAGACCCAAGTAAATAAAGTCCATTGAAATTAGAATTACATAGCATGACTTTTAATTAACTCAAATTATTTTGACTATCCCTGGACTTATCATTTTGTTATTTCATGGAAATAGCATTAAATGGGAATACAGAACTCTAAATTATAGCCAACTAAAACACCATTTGACCTTGGGGAAATAATTTCAGTTTCCTGAGACTCAATTTATTTGTAAAATAAAACTTTAGACCATTTTTAGGTATAAAATTCTGAACCTTTTACTCTCTAGATAGCAGTTAAGTGATTTGGATTGGGAATATAGGCTTGTGTTTTCAGCCTGTACCCAAGGACAGAAAGCAAAAGAATATTATTATATGTTTGGTACATAGATAGATAAGCAGAGCCCAAGTTCATTTTTGTTGTTGTCATTTCCGTTATTGTTCTGTTGTGTTATTTTGACATACTTGTGCCTAAAACAAAACAAATTGTTATTTTTCTGGATCCATCTAAATGAGAGACCCAAATCATTATGAACGAGAAAAAAGGTGAAGCTACATCACTGCTGATGATATCTGCTAATTCAAGGGAATCTTTGAAAATTTTAGTGGGAAATTTTAGTTACTTATATCCCTATAATAGTTGCTGAATGTTGGTTCTTTTCTAACTACAACCATCTTTATTCCCTATTAATTAACTAGATTTTACAGGAGAGCAAAGTGATGTGTAAAGGGTTATGGAAATACAGAACAATGATAGCTCTTAACCCACAAACCAAGGACCCAATGTGGGGTTGTACCAACTACTATGTATTTCTAGTCTATTCTAATTATACATTCAGGGAGTGGGCAATAACCACTAGGTGGGTTCTGTCATCCCCTTTTTGTCATCAGTGAGCCTAGTTCTGTAATGGCTTTTCTTTTTGTCACCCCTGGCTTACAGCCATCAATTAACCCATCTTTTGGCAAAGGTACATCATCTGTCCCCTCCACAGTGGGTTTTCTCTACTCTAGCATGGCTACTTCTCTGAGTCTAGCAGGTTTCTCAACCTCAGCACTGTTGATATTTTGGACAGATAATTGTGCAGGCTTGTGTGGAAGCTGCTGTGTGCATTGTAGGATCTTTAGCAGTATCCCTGACCTCTATCCAGTTGCTACTACTAGCACCTCTGTAGTTGTGACAACCAAAAATGTCTCCAGACATTGTCAATCCTGGGGAAGAAGGTAGTGGCAAACTTATCCTCAATTAAGAACTACTATGCTTTGGCAGTTCTGGAATTGCAAGCTGACATAGCGTGGGCCATATCCTTATGCTTACTTCTACAAATATCCAGTCTTAAATTTTGCACTCTACTATCAAATGCTAGGAGAATATGGGAGGAACTTGATCCTGAGGGATCTTGAATGAATACAGAAGATACTAATTTTAAGTTGGACTGGATTTATTGATATGGGCATCCTTATGGGTTGTGATTCAGAGTGCTAACATATAGAATTGGGACTGATTTAAATTGTTTGCCTATTTGGTTGACTGAAAGCAGAATCCAATGGGGGACTATTCCAAATAAAGCTCAAATGCCAAACTCATGAAGCTCAGAGCAAGAGAAAGCTCTCCAAGGGATCTAGTCTGAAGTTTAAGTAGCTTTATTTCTGGGTGCCTATGAACTAATATATTCAAATGGATTTAAACCATGTAAGGCATTTTGGGATCCTCCAGTGAAAAAATCTGTGCAGTGTACCTGGTCATCCATTTTGTTTGAAACAAGAAGTGGCTTTAGATTAGGAGATCCATGAAATCATGGGCAGGGACAATGGCTTGCCTGGCTGATCAGGGGCCTGGAAAGAGAAAAAATAATGTCAGAGACAAGAAATTCTGGCGTAGAGATGTGTGAATGTACATACAGAAGTGGGAATGAAGTATGAAGATCTATGTAGCACACACTCATACCCACCAGAGAGTATTCACCAGAGAAGAGGTGCTAAACAACTCCGCAGACAGAATGATTTGTCCCTTTGTAGTTTGTCAAGCCTTTCCATTGATCACTCTAATGCTGGCACAATGGGCACCTGAGTATAAAGTGGCCTTTGAGGTGGAGATGAAACTTATACATGGGACCCTGAATACAATCGTCCAGAAACAAAGACTAATGTTGAGTTCCTTATTTAGTACAATCCCTTAAGGATTGTATAACAAGACAGTGAATGGCAAGTTGACCACATTGGACCTCTTCTACCCAGGTAGGGACAACCAGAAATTCACTCTGACAGGAAAAAATAGCTACCCTGGTATGTTTTTGTCTATTGTCTACAGGATTTACTTGCATGAGGTCCCACATGATTATGACATCAGAGAAGGAAACACATTTTAGAACAAAGAAGATTCCAGAGTGGGACCATGAGCAAAGATTCTATCACATACCACACCATCCAAAAGCTGATAGCCTGACAGAACAGTGGAACAGCCTGTTAAAGTCATAGCTAAAGTGGTAGTTTGAAGATGACACATTATGGAAATGGGACACTGCAATAAAGAAGTATACACTTTAAATTAAAGACCTTTATGTGTCACTACTCCCAGTAGGAAGAATAGATGAATCCAACAGCAGTGAAACGATAGTAGCAGGAATAGTTCCACTCACCAGTGGTCACTTCCACAGACCCACTTGGGAATTTGTGCTATCTGTGCTTGCAGTTCTGCCCATTGTAGATTTAGAAGTCCTGCTTCCCAAAGGGAGTGAGGGAAATTTTCACATAAGGACACAGCAAGAATTCGATTGAATTATTTTAAAAAATGATAATATTAATAATAACATACATTCAAGACTTATTTCTCAAGCACCTATTATATGCCAGGCACTGCCTCAGTTTTGACAATTCTTGGACAGCTATATCCAATGACAGATCAATGCAGGGGTGTAAAGGACCAACTATCTCAGTCCAGCTTGGGACAGATCCAAAGGAACATTCAACTCCATCTTGATTCACTGAATGAGATTCCAAAATAATGTGTTGAATTGATGTGAATAGAGACATTCAGATATCAAAATCAACAATTGAACATAGATGTATATTGCCTTTTAGCTCCAAATCCACATTTCATTACCTGTTCTGCAAAAATATAGATGAGCCCTTTGAAGATTTTATGTTTACCAGAGGGACTGATGTTAAGCTTTGTCAGTAAAAGAGGCTGGAAAGATATTGCAGGTGGGGGTTTTCCAGTGTGCTGTCTTAGAAGACTTTTACAGTGCACAGCTTCTCTGGTACCTGGTTACTACAGTGAGGGCAAGCTGATCTGATTCTAACAGTGCAGGCAGCTTCCCAAGTGCCCACCTTCTACAGTGGCGGTTTGTATATTAACCATGCCTTTTATTTTCTATACTGATGCTTTGACACACTGGGGCCTTGCTGACACTGGAGAGATTGCCCCTCCCAGGGTTAGCTAATTCCTATAGAAAGCAAACAACTTGTCTGCAAGAGCTTCTTTCATATGCATAGTGACTAATCCAGAGCCCATATCCCTAAGGATTTCTTCTACCAGGCTCACACTCTTGAGCCACTATCCACCTGCCCTAATCATCCCTGTGCCAGGTATCAGACAACTAGGGACAGACCCTATGTCCCAGACGCTATTGAAATTATTCAAACTAGCCAATCATAAGCCTGCTTACCCTGCCTTGCCTTTACCTTCCCTTGGAAACAACAGTAAATGTTCTTACCACATTTTCTTCTCTCTCTTTGCTTCTCAACCGACACTGGTGTTCCCCCCATGATATGTCCCCTCCTCTCGGATGTATGAGTATAACAAACCATTTTTTTCGATGGCCATCATCTCCTGATCCACTGACCTCACCATACCTGAATAATAAAACCTACATTTTTAAAATAAGTAGCTTCTCCAGCACTAGACTTCTGCAGGGCAGTAATCAGTAGCACTCAGGGATCCGAAGCTTCCCCAGCACACCCCGTGGGCAGTCTCACAGTACAGTGCCTCTGGTGACACAGTTCCCCAAGAATAGCTTTCCCCAGATAATCACCAAAAGAGTGATTGCTGGCAAGTTCTGAAGGACATATTTCCTCTAAGTTTCACCACAACAACTACCCTTCCAGTGAGCCAGGATTATTTTCTCTCCCACAAAGTCTGGATCTCAGGTGTCGCTGCAGGGGGAGACTCTTTTGTGGATACCTTATCTCAGCCTTTGGGTGCTAACTGTTCCTTATATGTTCCATTTCCAAATTTGTTAGAGTTCTTTTTAATTCTTACTAGCCAACCCCTGTTACTCCAAACCCTGTTATATTTAATAATTCTTTATATTAAATTCTTCCTGCTCAAATTCCTATGTAGTTTTATCTCCTGATTGGATTCAGATTTATACATTGTTAAAATATATACAATTATGAAGAGATGACTTTTTCCTGTTAGCAAGCCCAATAGGAATTATACATTTTTTTAGCATTGGTGTTGGTATTAAGTGTTCAGCAAATGCTTAGAAAACACAGTCCCTTCCCTAATACTTATACTGATTTGCCTTTTAGTATTTAACCAATTGTCACAAAAGTAATAATAATACTCTGTGTAAATGAAGAACCAAATATTAACTTTTCACTTATATATAACTATTGCTATTTAATTTTATTAAAAATTATTCTGGACTAAGGAAAATTTAAAAATCTATGTGTCCATATAAAAAATCGAACTTGGGAAAGAAACACCATGAAATCTTCATGAACTGCATGAGAGTGTGGGATATCTGAATGAAAGTCATAGTGCTCCCAGTAATGCAAGCCAAGCAGTACCTTTTACTAAAGAAAAATCTAATTGTTCACATTATCTTTGATATGCTTTCTGGTTACCCTTAGACTTAGATGACCTGCTGCTTCCATCGATTAACTGAGTTTGGCTTCCAAACAATTCATTCTACAAACAGATTAAGAGGTCATGCCATGTGCCAGGCACCCTGTGGAAGATAAATTTTAGCGGAGTCACGCTGATAAAGCCTAAATCAAAGGAGTAATAATGTAGACTTTCAATTTTATGGCATGGTTATAAAGTTGTCTTTTTCTATTAATGTTCTTCCAACAAGTGAACAATGGGGAAGCCCCAAGGTCTGTGAGCAATTTCTGTAGAAAAATTATCAGTTCTTAAATTTTCCTCTCTCTCCTTTTCTGGAAGATTCACTATTGTGAATCTGTTTAGAATTAGTATTAAATTCTATAAAGAAGTTAGAAGATAAAGATCAGGGATCAAACTTCATGAGTTTTATTAATTGTCCACATTATTTCTGCTATTGACATTCTGTTTCCCCATAGCTAATTAGCAGTAAAATCCTTCACACAAAAAGGAAAATAAAGGAGTTTATGTAAGCCAGATATATCAGAATCTGGAAAAACAGGTGTTAGATGACCTCAAGATTGTTTCTCCATGTGTGAAACACCAAACTGTTAAATGCTTTGTTCAACACAAGGTTTTTTCCCCTCCTTACCACTACCCCTATAACTACAAGATTTCTTTGTCATAACTCAGAAGCGTTCCACTTGGTCTTTATATATGATTTAAAAAAAAAACTATAAAAGGAGAAACCCAACAGATGGTAATGGGGAAATAAGTAGGTTTTGAAAAATAAAATCCCTGAATTCTAATTCCAGATTTGCTTCTCACTTACTACACTACTGAATTTTAATTCTCTACGTAGTAAAACAAGAAATACTATAAGGTCATATTATAAGAACATGAAAAGAACACCTTTAAAAGATATCTTCTTATAATGTAAAAGAACTTTATACTTACCAGTAGAAATGCTTTTTTGATAATTCCAAACACATGTTGTCTTAGTCTGGCGGGCTACTATAACAGAATACCATAGACTTGATGGCTTATAAGCAACAGATACTCATTTCTAGCAGTTCTGGAGTCTAGAAAGTCCAACATCAAGGCACCAGCATATTCAGTGTCTAGTAAGAGCCTGTTTCCTGGTTCACAGACACCTGTCTCCTCCCTGTGTTCTCACATGGTAGAATGAGAATGGGAAGGAAGCTCTCTGGGGTCTCTTTTATAAGGGCACTAATCCCATTCATGAGGGCTCTGCTCTCACGACCTAATTACCACACAAAGTCCCCACCTCCCAATACCACCACAGTGGGAGTTAGGATTTAACATATTAATTTGGGGGTGTATAAACATTCAGTCTACAGCACATATGATAACGCCTTTCAACCACCTACATTTTAAGGTGTGGTTGTTGAGTATTTTTTTACAGTAATATACTACATTCATTCTACTAAGCCTTAAAAAATAAAACAAATAGAATATTTCATATCACAGATTCTATTTTCCTCTCCATCTTTTAGTGTATTTTATTTGTTTAGAATTTACGGTGATTTTCAGTTTTCATGAATATTTGATTGTAATATCAAAAAATCATCAGGATTATGTTATGGTATTGTGGATAGCTCATAGTTACTAAAATCTGTCCCTTCTGATAAGTTTTATTCCCATATACAAGGACCACCCACTGAGGTAATTAGGCAATTGTTTTCCAGCTCATTCCTTCTTCATGACTTAAGTGAACATCTTAGTTTACTATCCGAATCCTGGGAATACAGAGAAAAAGCAGAGATTCTTTAAGATGTTTACTATGGAAGCAAAGAAGAGAACAAGAGAGGGGGGAAAAGCAAATGGTTTAGAGGTTTTATGGGGAAAGCAGAGAATTCATATCATTTGATACATTTAAATCAGACTGGGCAAAACACTTGAGGAAAAATGGTTGTGGTCTCAAGGGAAGAGGAAAAGTGACTTAAGGTGGTCTTTTCCATTTCTTATTGATGTGATTAAACAACTTGATCTCTGGCCTTTTTACTGACTTCACTGAAGAAGAAACCAATTGGTGGCAATTAGAATGTTGGCTTTACCACGTAGACACCTGCTCTAATAGTTAAGCTGAGAGTTGATGAATTTCAAATATGTCAGCAGCTGTCAGGTGGTAACAATTTCAAGTCATTTCTAACCTCAGCTGGGAGCAAACCAG